CGATTATAAACTAAAATTCACTTAAGGATAATTTTAATTATTGAGATTGAAAAACAAATTTTTTTAAAAAAACAACAACAACAGCAGCAGCAACATCAGAATCTACTTGATGAATGATGTAAGCGAAGAAGAAAAAAAAAATTTTTTTAATTTTTTAAATCAATAGGGTGAAAATGAAAAATTAGTTGCTATGTTGTTGTTTTTTTTTATTTAAAAAAAAAGGGAATAAGGGAATAACATTAATGACTGAAGATGACTGACGACTATGATAATAGAAAAATAATGACAAAAAAACTGGGGGGTGGTGGTGGTGGTGTTATTGTTTTTGTTTTATGTGTGACTTTTCTATTTTAAAAAGAAAAAAAACGAAAAGAAAAATGGAAGGAGGGAAATAAGATCTTCTCACCATTATCAATGGGAATATTGATTTTAATGTATCCAGATCAATAAATTATTGTATAAATAGAAAAAAACAACAACAACTTGTGAATGAATAAATTGATTCAATTAAGAAAAAAATATTCATATCAGAAGGGGTTTTTGTGAATATTATAATAATAATTTCAATGGTTGAGATCATGAGTCAATTTCAAACTAGATCACCATGAAAAACCTGGAAGCATTGGAGGGCTGTTACATCCTATTGTAGGACTCCTCAGTGGTAGTATGAATACACGATACTGCCCCCCCCCCGCGAGATTCGAACCCAGGGTCTATCGGCCTCGGGCATGTGAACGCTTAACCTCTAGACTACTGAGTTAACTGAAATCCAATGGTGTTAATGTCTAACTTCAACTAATCCATGAAATTGAGTGACATATCCATGGTGATCTGGCTTCAATTGATTCATGATCTCAATCATTGAAATTTTAAAAAAAATATTCTTAGAAATTCTCATTTTCGTTTTGAATAAAAACTGTACAAATTGTTTTAGTATAATGGATTGGTGTTTAAGATGTTCACTATGATCAACTCTAAGTTAATTTATTTTTTCAAATTACCTTTAAGAGAACCCTTCAATGGTATAGGTAATCAGGAAGTGATAATTGCTTTCATACCTTTAACAACATTCAAGATCACTGTCTCTATAGTCATATTCAACTTTCAAACAAAAAGTCCCACGTTCGAATAGTTTTCTATTTACTTCAAGTTTAGACAACTGGATAGTAACATACTAGTGTATGATTTGTAGCCAAATACATAATTCTATATATGATAAATGAATTCCTTATATATCGGTTTATCTTAAGTTTAGTCATCATTCATTAATTATTATGATTAATAATGATCAATGGTTAAGATCATGAGTCAGTTGAAGCTAGAACACCATGGAAAACCTGGAGGGCTGTTTCGTCCTATTGTGGTACGCACTGCTGAGGAGTCTCACAATAGGACGAAACGGCCCTCCAGTGCTTCCAGGTTTTCCATGGTGTTCTAGCTTCAACTGACTCATGATCTTAACCATTGAAATTACTACAATCTCCACAAAAACCCATCTGATAATCATGATCAGTCTATCAAAACCTTGATTTATTTTCTATGGTAAAAATGTGAAATATGATCATTTAGATCAATTCAATTATTTGTTATTATACCCTAGAAAGGTGATTTTTCCCAAATTCAAGTTTCATCTTTAAGTAAATGTTTACAACAACGAAAATTTGATGATTTTCCATATCCGTTTTTGATGTTCACTCTGAGTTCGAGTCCCAGAGTGATACAATCTCAAATAGATCGAAAACCATGTCCTAGATCTCACTGCTAACCACTATCCATATTTACTTATAATGCTTGTGAATTAAGACAATATCGTGGCATACGCACAGTATGAACATCAATGGGATGATTCAAATAAACAATACCAAGTGAATTTAAGATAAGTAATGATGGCGACTATGTTGCCAAGGTTGATAAATCATATGCTATCAGGCAGTCAGTCAATCAATCATAAGTAATGTAACATCTAATACACAACTGGGACGGTCCAAATTGTTGAGTTACATCTGCATTATGACATAAAATAATGAAGATGAAAATTCAGACAGTAATAGTTGCAGTTGAAGTATCAGTGATTATAAGAAAGATTAGATATAGAGATTACGACTAGAGAAGAAAGATTTAACTTTTTGAATTTCAGGCTCATTGCAATGAATTTTAAATCAAGTTACTCAGCATCTTTAACTACTAAATGCGGTTCTAGCGCATGACCCAATCAGATTGTTTTCACTTACGAATATATGTCGAACTATTGGTTAATGACCACATAAACGAATACCATATGTTTAGTTTTGATCTCATCAGCTTTCTTCTAAGTTACTCCAGTTTCAGTCTACACTGCAAATCGAGATAGACGATGATTGAGTATATGTGACATGAATTTATCATATTTGGTCAACACTCTTGAGCTAACTTTATTATTGCTCATTCTATAGTCCCAACATTATTCATCAATATGATCAGTAGCAAAGATTATAAAACTGTCAACAATTCCTCTTTAATTCTTATTGACTATATTGAATCACTTGAAGTGTTTTCTTCAAATGAATCAGTGAAATCTTTATGTTAGTCAGTCATAATCAACATAGAATTCTTATATATATATATATATATATATATATATATATATATATATATATATATATATATATATATATATATATATATATATATATATATATATATATATATATATATTCAATACAAATGTCAAGACAGTTCTACTGTATGGGGCAGAAATCTGGAGAACTACGAAAGCCATCATCCAGAAAATACAGGTGTTTATCAACAATTGTCTACGCAAAATACTTCAGATCCATTGGCCGGACACTATGAGCAACAACGTACTGTGGGAGAGAACAAACCAGATCCCAGTGGAGGAAGAAATCAGGAAGAAGCGTTGGAAGTGGATAGGACACACATTGGGGAAAGCACCCAACTGCGTCACAAGACAAGACCTCACATGGAATTCTCAAGACCAAAGAACACATTACGCCGTGAAATGGAAATAGACATGAGAGAAATGAACAAGAATTGGATGGAACTAGAAAAGAAGGCGGAGGACAGAGTGGGTTGGAGAATGCTAGTCAGCGGCCTATGCTCCATTGGGAGTAACAGGCGTAAGTAAGTAAGTAAGTAATATATATATATATATATATATATATATATATATATATATATATATATATATAAATCTAGACAACATGAAATTAACAAGTCAAAATGATAATTTCTCTAACTAGGTCGGAAGTATTCATCCTGTTGAAGATGTTCAATGATTGAACTGAAAAGTTGTCTAGAGCTCTTTGTTATTCTTTTTTTTGGTGCCCTAAAATGAGATGTCAATCATTCAGTCAGTAACAATGTAGAACTTCGTATGTACATACATCGGTTCGAGTTGCCATACCACATTAGCATAGAGATGCAGTGGTCGATTCAAATCCCATAGTGGTAGAAGTAATAAGAGTATAAGCAGTAATCGGGAAGTTTAGGGTTTGGAGATGTCATTTAAAGAGTATAATCGAGTGAAATAAATTTGGGAAGAGAGAAAAAATAAAGGAACAGGAAGAATTCAGAAGATTAGAATTTGGAAAAACACAAGGAATGGATGTACCTGCGCTATTGCAAACGATTTTGAGCGATGTGATTCAGGGTCTCTAACTATTGGTTGCTATTATCTCGCGGTCCCTAACCAAATAGTCTACACCTACGAATATGACTCAGTCCATTTGCCAGTGACTTCATGGACTTGTGCCATATTTCTAAAATGAGATGAATCTTTGATGAATCTAATCTATTTATCATATTCTTTCATGTTAGTTACAAAATGTCTTGACTACTATTTTATCATATTAAATGTGATTCAATTAATCATTGAAATACCTTGTTAACATAATCATGATGATAATAATAAACTATGCAATGACACTTATGATGATGATGATGACGATTATATTCATAGTAAATATTACCTCATTGACATGTGAATTTCATTAACTAACCAAACAAAAAAAAAGAGCTGAATAGATTTCATTGAGAACAGTTATGCAAATGAGTTGAGATTAGGCATTCACAAGGGAGTTCTAAGATCCTGAGTTCGATTTCCTGTACAGGCATTATAGATAGACGTTATTCAGGAGTTTCATATTAAGATGAAACAGTTATCCAATACTGTCTGGTTTCTAATATTGGTTTAACTAAGTTCCGTTCATAATATGATTTTGATAAAAAAGATCTCTATAGACTATCTGTATTCAGATAGTGATAAAGGTAGGATTACCACTTTCTCTGATATTTGAAATCATCTGATTCTGAAATAGGACAAATGATTCAATTTTATGATCCGTATTTACAAGTTTAATCTTGAGATGGTGGAGAAGATTTGTAGCTCATGTGAATGATTTTGATGGAGTTTTGTTCTCTAAGCTGAATGGTTTGATCGTGTCAGCTCAGAGAACAAAACTCCATCAAAATCATTCATCCACCTGAGGTACAAATATTCTCCACCATCTCAAAATCATAATATGAGCGTAATACGCTTCTCATTGTTCGAAAATAGGAGAATTTCGCCAAAAGGCAAGTTTCCACTTGAGAACAACTATATATTTTCTCTATGAATGTCTTCGCTAGCATGTTCTACCAACAAGTGTAAGATATAGACTACCAATCAACTTCCCATTAGGATGGAAAATAGCTGAGCAAAGTGGGAGAGAAAAAAAATGGTACACCTAATGATAACATATGTACACTACAGGATCCACAAATAGCAACACGCCATAGAAGACCAAAAGATGAAGCTACAAAGGACACACACGTCAGAACACGACCAAATCATCCAGCTCAGAGAACAAAACTCCTTCAACAACTTTAATCTAATCTTCTTATCAAGATAATTAACTTGTCTACTATATTTATTCTTATAGAAAATATCAATCCTTAAACTTAGATAACTAATATTAAATTATATAAATACATATATACATATATTATTCATAATAACTTACCATAAAACTATTCAATGGTCTTGGTATACTATCTTTTCTACGTTTCTTTTTAGATTCAGCTATTGTTGTATATGGACGTAATGCATTAGAACCAGTTAAACGTGATGCTCTATCACTAGGCCATTCAGTTGGTATTGCATGTTCATTAGTTAAATGTTGCATCCATATTTGTAAACCTCCAAGTTTTGCTGTAGAACATTGATCACAATCTTTCATCCACATAATTATTTTCTTATTTTTGTTACTATGCTCAATATATTATGTATGTATAGATAGATAGATAGATAGATGGATATGATATATGTGTAATTGTTTATTCACTGAAAGCACACTGGTAAATCATGAATTGAATACAATATTTCTTGGAATGAATTGAAGATGATAAAGTAATGATATTATACATTCGATATGGAATTAACTACATCTATATACATTTGTATATATATAAATGTATGTGTTCAATTCTGTTCCTTTTTGTTTCTAGTTTTTCTTCGTCTTCTTTTGTTATTTCTTGATTGAATAACAAAAATCACTTAAGAGACTAGACGACGTTACACATTAAAAAATAAATGAGGAAATCATTGTATGATTTGACAATTTATAGTTGACAGATTGGGAAGTCTAGAGGTAGAACATAGATAAACCAATGATATATTTTGTGCCCTAGAGCTGTATGTTTATATATATATATATATAATGATATACATGCATATGTATTTATATGTATATATATGTATGTATGCGTGTGTGTGTATATGTGTGTGTGTGTCTATTTACAAATCACCTTGACACACACAACTCCTATGTGACTATTAACTGTTAATAATAGTAATATTATTAGACAGGGGTTAAATAGGTAGTTTATCTTCTATAACTTAATAGATACGTCTAGGAAAATGATGATGATGATGATAATGATGATGATGATGAGTTCAGCTGAGACTAATTTTTTCTTTTGTGTATTGTTTTTATGCATATAGACACACGTGGCTTACAATATGCTACCTGTAAATATCTATATATGTCTATAAAAGATATGTCTATCTATCGATCGATTAATTAAAGGGGAAAAATATATACATATATATATATATATATATATATATATATATATATATAATAAATCTTAATTTTACCATCAAAAATACAAGTCTGTTTCTCGCCTCCCCCCCCACCCACCCACCTAAAATACACAACATTTAATCACGTATTTGTGGAGAAAAAAAATTAAAAAAAATTTTATACATAATTTTTTTTGTTTTTTTCAAAATGAGCACGTCAACCACATCTACAATCCAAAAAAAAATTATTTTTTTTGTTATATCAACCAATCACAAATGAGTAAAAGGAATTGGATACTATCAATCTGAATTTTGATTGGTTGATTCAATAATCATAAACATATTTTTTTTAAAAAAAAACAATAGGGAGAGTGATGAAAAATGATTAATCCAATACATATGTATCATGGAATGGTGGTGGTGTAATTTGTAAAAAAAATTGATCAGAAACCAAAAAAAAGGGGATGACATTATCTATTCACTTTATATATCTCTCTCTCTCTCGCTGACACACACACACACACACGGTGTTTTTTTGCTGTAAAGAATTTTCGGTTAAATAATCGAGATCATTTATGTAAGAATGAAATCCCTCAAAATGCCCTGGTATGCCTAAGAGTGAGGAGAGTTCGTTCTCACTATCCAAATGCTTTCACATGGCCATGCGTATATAGCCTCTGTCAGGGAAGTTCAACTCACTGATTTCTTGTGTCGGGAGTGTTATTCACGAAATCGATATGACGAAAAGAGAATGTCCGGCGCTTTAACCAGATCCCAAATCAATGGTGCACATGGGTTCCAGGATCCTGCGGGAACAAATGGCGTATGAACCAATTGTTGGTGACTGGCTTCCATGAGACTGTATCTTCTTACATTGCTCCACTGTCTTGTGGATCGGACCTTCAGGTTAAAGGCTCTGGGTGTGGCTCCCTAAGAGAAACACCTGTTTCGGTTTGGGCACCCGGTGAGTATCACAGCCCTCATACATATCAAATGAGATTTGTGTGACGCATATGTATTTGGTGCCTCTTTGTACCAATATCTATGTGTTAAAATAAACAAATAAATAATAAATATGTAAGATTCAATCATTTCGATATATATATTTTTTCATACTGTATTAAACAATCCGAGAAATTGGGAAGATGCTTTTATGTATATTATGTAATATAATGTATGTATATATATTTTAACAGTTGAGAGTACGAATTAATTGAAGATAGACCACCATGGAAAACCTGAAAGCATTAGACGGGCGTTTCGTTCTGTTGTGGGACTCCTCAGTCGCAATGCACATCCAAGATCCTGCCGCATGGAATTCGAACGCAGGACCTATTGGTTTCGTGCTTGAACGTTTGACCTATAGACCATTGAGCTGGCCGGTATCCAACGCTGTTAATGTCTAACTTCAAACAATTTATGAAATTTAGCCATCGTTCATCATTGTCCTCAGTGAGTTAATATCACACAACAGATACAGTTGAACTTCATTGACCACGGCTTCTTGCTAGAACTTCATGAACTACCTCTTTAAGCCAGTCACTAGTGAACATAAGATGATTAATATGAGAAGGGGCTTTGTGGAGATTTTACTAATTTAATAGTTGAGATCATGAGTCAATTGAAGCTAGACCACCATGGAAAACCTGAAAGCACTGGAACGGCGTTTCGTCCTACTGTGGGACTCCTCAACAGTACGCATCCACACTATCGTATATATCTTTTGGTCAAATTATAGAATAATCCAGACTAGAAAAATAACTAAATTATAACGATAATCATCAGATATAACTGTCATCCGATTTTTCTAATATCACAGAAATCGAGAGGATAAAAATTGATAATAATAATAATTACTTCGTATTTACTGGTAAATCAGTATAGGGTTGTGAAGATTGTTAAGCTTTAATTATGATCATGAATGGATCAATGTTAGATTACCATTGAAAACTTGGAAACACTAAACCGTTGTTTTGTACCAGTACGTGACTCCTCAATAGTGTATATCTCATCAATATAAATAATGAGTTCAGTTACCAAATGACATTAAACCATATTATAGGCTTTAATTATGTAGTCTATTATCTCATAAACCATTTCGACTCATCAACAGTACATATCCACGATCCCGTCTCGCGAGGTTCGAACCCAGGATGTATCAGTCTCGCAAGTGAGCGCTTAATCCCTCCCCCCCTCTCTCTCTTTATATATATATATATATTCATCTGATTGTCTCGGCATTACCACCAAGTCAAACAAGGTAAGTTGGACATTGATTAATAACGGATTGTAGAATTCTATTTTGTTAATCTGATTAATGACAAATGTGATTATTAAAAAGCTTTTAGCATAAATCTAAAATGTCATTTAGAGTCAATCTCTAAACAAGTCCACCTTTAATCTAAATTATGATTACATTAATAATGAATAAACAAATCCTAACCTTAAGTCATGTGTAAATATTCAAGGGTTAGATATAAATTTTTTTCAATATTTGTTTCATTGTATTCAATATTCTATCAGTGGATATTTTGTTATTGTGATAATCTATTCTGATCTTTTTCCATTGATTGTTTATTCTGGTTAGTGATTTTTTTTTGTGTGTGGTAAGGTTGTTTTCTACGAGATGAGGTCGCTAACCTCATACTCAACCTTTCTGTTTTACCCGGGCTTGGGATCGGTAGTAAATCTAGAAGAACTACAATTGGAAGTCATCAAACTCCATCATGAAGCAAGTCCTAATTTGAAATCTTGAAAGAAAATAGAAAAGAGTAAGTTGAAAGAACACATTGAGTCAAGAATTGGAAGTAGACATGAAAAAGATGAATGACAACTGGAAAGGAATGTCAAGGATACAGTTTGATTTAGAATGCTGATTGATGGCTTATGCTCCTCTATGAGGATTAACAGATGTAAGTAAATAAGTAGTAGTCAGAACACCACTTAACATTCTTTTGACTATTATTAAAACTTGTAATTTCTTATCAGCTATTCATTTAATTCTAAATTATTGATTAATATTTGTTAATGTGTATATATATGAGCAACTGATTATCTTTGCATAGATCACATTTAATGAGTACTTTTACATTTGACATCATTATAATTAACTTATTATAGTAACGTCGGGAATTGGAAACAAACATGAAAAGGATAAATAGTAACTGAAAAGAATTTCCCAGTGCAAGGTTGGATGGAGAGTACAGGTGGGCGGACTATGTTCTTCCACGAGGGTTAACAGGAGTAAGTAAGTAATTCTAACAAATTAAATACAACTATGTAAATCCTTATAATTATGATTACCATTTATATTATTGAAGACATTGATATTATTAATACAATAGGCATTAATTTAGATGTAAATAAATTAAAGAAAATATTATAATACAATGGGATATAAGAACACAATAACCAATTAAGATTGAAGTCTACAGGATAAGTTGGTAGTCATATATGTAAAAATTAGAATACACTTCGCATCTACATAAAGTTTATACTGATAATGTCATTCAGAAGAATGATTAAAACGTTCACAACAATCAAAACCATTCAGTTCACAAAACAAAACTTCATCGAATTCCTCGAGTGGGATCGTGATTGCGCACTGTTGAGGAGTCCTACAATAAGACGAAATGGCCGTCCAGTGCTCCTAGGTTTTCAATGGTAGTTTAACCCAAAACTTAATAATCTCTACAACCCTAAACTGATAATTACCATGTACGTACTAGTAACTAACTTCGTGAGGGAATTCTCGGAGTTCTAGTGAGAAGCCGTAACCAGTGGAGCTAATCCGTTCCGGGTAGAAACATGTATCTAACTCAGTACAATGGAAGATGATCTTGCAAATTCGTGAATCGGTTGAGGTTAGACATTAACACTTTTGGACGCCAACCTATTGGTGTAGAGATTAAGTGTTTGCTCGCGAAACCGAATGTTCTGGGTTCGAATCCCACGAGAAGGATCGTGAGTGCGCACTGTTGAGGAGTCTCACAATAGGACAAAACGGCTATCCAATGCCTTCACGTTTTCAATAGTGGTCAATTGTATGTATTTAAAGATGATAAACATGTACGCATACAACCATCCATCCGCCCACCCACACACACACACAACACATTCAAAGACAACATCAATAACACTAATATAATCATCAGAATGGGTTTTGTGGAGATTTTTGGAAATTTCACAAGCTAAAATCATGAACCAGGTCTGTTGTGATATAGGAACTCAATGAAGACAATGGTGTACGGTGGCGCAACTTCGTGGATTGATTAAAGTTAGACATTAACACCGTTGGATGCCGGCTCAGTGGTCTAATGGTTAAGTGCTCGCGCGCGAAGCCAGTAGGTCCTGGGTTCGAATCCCGCGGGGGGCGGGTTCGTTGATGCGCACTGCTGAGGAGTCCCATACTAAGACGAAACGGCCATCCATTGCTTCCAGGTTTTCAATGGTGGTCTAGCTTCAATCGACTCATGACTTCAACTTGTGAAACTAATATAATCAATGAAATAACTTTTGAGTCTGGTATTTGGGCGTATCCACTTTCGAATCATCAAGCTTAGAATGAAGAAGATAATCATTAT